TCCCTTTTCATCATTTTGGCAAATCACTCAAGATGGCAGTTCTAGCCAAAAGGAAGACAACCTTACATTATGTGGCTTATTAAATTCTTGTATCAGTTTTAATATTTTACTTTTCTTTTCTGCATATGAGTGTGTGTGTGTGTGTGTATGTGTGTGTCCCTTAGAAATTTTCACATATGGGCCTGGCAGTGGAGTGGTAGTTAAGGTGCTGGACTCCTACATGTCTGACCAAGGTTTGAGTACGGACCTGGTGGCTTGCTTTCTTACTTTGCCTCTCTCTCTGTTTCTCTCTGGCCAAATAAAAAAAAATAAAAATAATTTAAAAATTAAATAATTCTAAAAACCAGAACATTTAAAATAAAAATAATAGGGACCAGTAGATGGTGTAGTGGTTATGTCCCTGGATGCCGACATGGCTGACCACTGTTTGAGTTCTGGACCTGGTGGCTTGAAACTCACGCCAGTGAGTATGCGTGCATGCCTAAGATCCTGGGGGGAGAATGAAGAAGAAGGGATTGAGGCCTGGCCTTCCCCCTTAGGGGATGATTTCTCACTTTTCCTCTCATGGTTTCTGTCTCTTTCTCTGGAGAGCACATGTGCCGTAAGGCAAAAAAAATATCTAGTAGAACTTACTAGAATTAAAATATTTTATAGAATTTATTAGGTCATCTGTGCCCAGGATTTTTTTTTGTAGGAAGACTTTTTTAAAAAGAATTATTTAATCTGGACCCGGTGGCTTGAAACTCACACAGGGCTCGTGTGCGTGCGTGCCCATCCCCCCTGGAGGGTGATTTCTCGCTTTCTGTCTCTCTGTCTCTCTGTCTGGTGAGCGCACGTGCCCTATAGCAAAAACCTCTCCAAAAAAAGAGAATTATTTAATTTTATTTATTCATTCATTTATTTTTAATTTGATGGAGAGAGACAAAGAGAGAGAGAGGAAATGAGAAAGCAAAACACCAGGTCTGGGACTCAAACGGTGGTCAGCCATGTGGGAGTGTCCAGTGCCTTAACCACCATGCCACCTGCCAGTCCCATGTAGGAAGGCTTTAATGACTCATTTGATGTCTTTACTTATTTTAGATCTGTATGAGTTTTTAATTTGTCTTTCAATTATTTTGGTATTTTGTAGGATTTTGTAGGCTTTTGCCCATTATGGCTAAGTTATCTAATTTCTAATTTCTTCTATGAAGTTGCTTATTATACTTCCTTAGTGCTTTCTTTTTTAGAATTATTTAATTTTAATTTTTATTATCATTATTATTCATTATTAATAGGGTACATGTGCTCACCAGAGAGAAAGAGAGAGAAAGCAAGCCACCAGGTCCTGGACTTGAACCACAGTCAGCCATGTGGGCACCCAGTGCCTCAACCACCATGCCATCTGCTGGTCCCAGTCCTTTTCCTTTTTATAGGTTCAAGTTATGTTCCGATTGAAAGATTTGTCAATTTCACTGAATTTTCTCCAAAGAAAAACTTTTGATTTTATTGATTTTCTTAGCTGTTTTTTTTTCATTAATTTCTACTCTAATTTGCATTATTCCTTTCCTTCTGCTTGCTTACAATGTAATTTATTCTTTTTTAATAAAAAGAAATTGTATTTACTTAGAAGCATTCAGAATGTCAACAAAACAGCTGCAATTTTTTTTTCAATTACAGAGTGGTATTCAGTTAACAGAACAATTATTTCATATAAGCTGAATCAGAGACAACTGAAGATGAAAAAACTACCATCTCTATATATAACTAATTTTTGCTGTGCACCAACAAGAACCTGCTTTAAATTTCCATGCCAATTTACAACCCCCATACTGTACCAGGCAAGGTTAGTGGCTATTGAAAATAACACCAACACAGGGCTATCTAAAGACACATCCGATAGTGTGTTAACTACATAAAAAAAGACACTGTACAGTTTAAAAACAAATCTTACATAGCCTTACTTTTCAATTTTTTTCTTTAAAAGGAATGAGCTGTATACAGGGGTGGTTAAATACTTTATAGACAAGGAGAAAAAACTGCACTAGAACCAACTTATTCATCATCATCATCTTCATCCTCTTCATTTTCCTTTTCTTCCTCATCTTTCTCATCTTCCTCCTCCTCTTTTTCTTGCTCTTTTCAGCCTTGACAACTCCCTTTTTTGCTGCATCAGGCTTTCCTTTAGCTCGGTATGCAGCAATATCCTTTTAGTATTTTTTCATTCAGCTTAGCAGCCTTCTTTTCATAAGGCTGTTTATCATCTGCAGCAGTGTTATTCCACATCTTTCCCAATGTCTTTGTAACATCACCAATGGATAGGCCAGGATGTTCTCCTTTAATTTTTTGGGCATATTCAGAACAGAACAAGAATAAGGCTGAAGGAGGCCTCTTGGGTGCATTGGGATCCCTGAACTTCTTTTCTGTTTCCCCTTTAGGAGGGATATAGGTTTTCATTTCGCTTTCATAATGGGCCTTGTCCGCCTTTGCCATATCTTTAAATTTTCCTTTCTCTTTAGTCTTCCACCTCTCTGAGCGCTTCTTAGAAAACTCGGAGAAGGGAACCAGCAGCTAGCATAATGGCTATGTCGCTGGACTCCCACGTAGTCCACCGCGGTTCGTGTCCCGGATCCGGTGGCTTAAAACTCATGCTGGGCGCGTGTGCGTGCGTGCCCAAGATCCCGAGAGGAGAATGGAGGAAAAGGAATTGCGGTGTGGCC